ACCAATGTGCATACACCAGACGCGGGTCTAGCAGGATTTGTGAGGCAGAACTGAGGCCATAGTGTGTGGGGAGGAAGCATTAGAGAACTAAGGCAATGTGTGTGTTTTGTTTGTGCTGCGCTGCAGCAGTTTGGTCTCCATTTTATACTTGTCCAGAGACTGTCCAGTCAGGTCTGGGTGGTTAGCGTGGGTGGGGCTGCCCCCTCATCTTTGGGTGCTCCCTGCGGAAGGGGATGGTGATTCCAGATGGAGGACGTGAGCAGGAATGCTCTGGTGTGTGCCGTCTGTGAGGCTCAGGCTGGGGGCGCTGAACCCTCTGGGTCCGGCGGGCTTTCCATGAAGACAGAGACTCCTTCCAGGACCTGCCTGGCTGCCATGATACCTGGGAACCGTACGTCACTCAGAAGGCACCCACCTGCAGAACCAGTGCAGATCTCTTAATCTTGCGGCATCGGGTTTCCAAAAGAGCCCGCTTCGGGAGGTGCTGTTCCTCTTTGACGCTTATGAGCCTGCCAGGCAGTGTTTTAGGGCCCGAGGGGATTGCCTGCTCAAGCCCCCAGACCAGAATCTGGCTCCACAGAGCATCATCCCCAATGACTGGGCAAGTTGTCAGTTCCCTGGGGAAGCGCCGATTCTGACATTAGGCTTAGGATCTTGGTTTCCAGGTGAGGCCTCTGGGCCTCCCTCTGAGCATCTTGTGACTTGGCTGTGGCCACAGGGACTACGTGATAGAGGGAAGGCTTGGTGCTTTGCCTGTCAGGGTCTGACAGCCACTATCGTCCCACAGCGCCAGGCTGCATATTTGGCTTCTCAGACCTCTCCTACTCCCAAGGCAGATCTTGAAGTCAACGTGTGCACCCACAGATGCCCTTTGGAAGCAAACCGGACTTTAGAAAACATGTTCTGTGCAAGGCCAGATGCCTGGGAGGCGGAGGCAATGAAGTCATTAAAAGAAGTGAGGCCGGAGTGCTTCTTAGGGACAAGGGTGCCGAGACAATGTCTCACGCGCTTTGGACATGTTATCAGTGGAGACCAGTCCCTAGAGGACATCGCGCTTAGTGAAGCAGAGGGGCAGCGCTAATGAGGAAGGCCCTCAAGGAGACAACAGTGGGCAGTATGTCCTTCTGTCCTGTCAGGAGCTTGTGCCTGAAGCAGGGTATGGAACCTTGTCTTTGTGCACTGGGTTGTGCCAGTTGACCGGGTGGGTCCTGAGTCTCTAGGCCCCTAAGTCCCTCCCTCCATGAGCTTGGTTGGGGCTAAGCGGTTTCCCCAGCTTTGCCTGCTGCGTGCTCTAATCTACCCACAGAGGTACTTGCAGTGCATGGGGGTGGTGGGGGTGGACATAGATAGACATGTCCCCCTTCACCGTCCTCTGTCTCTGCATGAGATGGGCTCACAAACAGCAGGTTTCACAGAGCACATGCTTGAGAGGAGCATCTGTGGCGAAGGCGAAGGTTCTGCGACTCCCTAGAGGTCTCTCTGGCATTGCCCCTGCTTCCCTGATCCAGTGCCCTGGGTCTCGTCCCCTTTGCTCCCGAGGCTGGGACTCACCAAGTCACCCTTCAGCCGGTCTTCAGCAGTGGGACTTCCTGATCTACAGAAGCCTGCAGACTGCCTGGCCTCCCCAGGACAGTGAGCCCCATGCCCCCCACCCATTGGCGTGACTCTAGAGCAGGGGTCCTCAAACTTTTTAAACAGGGGGCCAGTTCACTGCTCCTCAGATCGTTGGAGGGCTGGATTATAGTTTTTAAAAAAAAACTATGAACAAATTCCTATGCACACTGCACATATCTTATTTTGAAGTAAAAATACAAATGGGGCAAAAACACCTGGCAGGCCAGATAAATGTCCTCAGTGGGCCGTATATGACCCATGGGCCAAAGGCAGTACCATCAGGGGATTTCCTCCAGGAAGTCCTTGTTCGTTGGGGGCTGGGGTGCCTGATGGACAAGTCTCCGTGTGGCCCTTGGGCAGTCGTCAGGAGCCTGGTGGTGCTGGAAGTTTGCTGCCCGAAAGGTTGACGGCTCAAATGTGCCCCTGTGCCTTGGGAGAAAGGCCTGGTTTCCCTGTGAAGCTGGCTCTTGTGGTGAGAGGCTGCCCAGTTGATTCTGGCTCTCAGCAACCCTGTGTGGCAGACCACGGCCCCGGAGGGTCCTCTACCTGTCCCCTGAGGAGCCTCGCAGTGGAGGCCATTGGCTAGTGTTTCAGTTGGTAGCCAGGTGTCTCAGCATTGCATCATCAGCCAGGGCTGCGGCCAGGGACACCCTGAGGACCAGTCCTCAGCTGTCACGCTGGTCACCTTGAGTGTACTCAGTGTGACGCTGATGGCAGCAGGCAGCCTCTCTGCAGGAGCGCCCTGCAGAGTCTCCTGAGTGGCTAAGGGAGCCCTGTGGCACCTTCTCGGGAAGTGACGCACACAGCAGCCAGGGGAGGCCACATTTGCCAGGCTCTCTGTCCATTCTCCAGAAGGGAGGCCAATGACCTGTCCCACCAGCCTCCCTGGTCCCAGCCCGACTGCCGTGGCAGGCCAGTGAGACAGAGCCTTTCCTGGGAGGCTCAGCATCAGGTCACGCAAACAAAGCAGTGTGTTGGACACCAGCGTGGGCGACATCTGTCTGTGTGTTTTCCACGGCATCCCACGCACTGAACGTGAGACCCTCGGAGCACATCCTTGAAACTGGTGTGTGCTTATGTGAGACCCAAAACCGAAGCCCCCGAGTTCCGGTGCTGGTGAGCCATCCTGGAAGGACCACGCACCACCGGACAAAGAAGCCAACCTGTCTTGGGAGCATTCTGCACCACCAGGTTGCTCCTTGGAAGTGAGTGAGGATGGAGAGACTCCGTCTCATGTACCTTGGACCCATTATCAGGAGAGACCGGTCTCTGGAGCAGGACCTCACATTTGGTGAAGTAGAGGAAGACCCCCAACAAGGTGGAGGGACACAAGAACAGCTGTAGGCTTCTATCAACACGTAAAAACCAAACTCACAGCCCATGAGTCCCTGCTGACTGATCATGACCCTACAGGACAGGGCAGAAGTGCCCTGTGAGTTTGTTCCCAAGCCTGTAAGTCTTCGGATTCAAACCGCTGACCTTGCTGTTAGCAGCCCAGTGTGGAATCCCTCCTCCACCAGGGCTCCTCAGCAAAGCTAGCACCAAACGCGCTGCCTTCAAGTAGATGGGGACTCAGCGCTGTCCTAAGGATTGGGTAGCACTGCTCCTGGGGGTTTCCGAGGCTGTGAAAAAGCCCTTCTTTCGCCGACCACATGGGTCCATGCGTCTTTTGATTTTTTTAATTTTATAGGGGGCTCATATAGCTCTTATCATAATTCATTCATCCATCCACTGTGTTAAGCACATTTGTACATATGTTGCCATCATCCTTTTCAAAACATGTTCTTTGTACTTGAGCCCTTGGGATCAGCTCATGTTCCCCCTCCTCCACCTTCCTGAACCCTTGATAATTTTTAAGTTATTTTTTTCCCTGTCTTACACCAACCACTGTCTGCCTTCACCCACTTTTCTGTTGTCTATCCCCCTGGGAGGGGTTATATGTAGATCATTTACAGATTAAACTATTACTGTTAGCTGCATCCAGTCAGCACCACCTCATGCACAATGTAACAAAACCCTGCATCCCTTCCTACACCACCCCACCGTCCCTGCGGATCAGACAGTGGTGATCCTGGGGGTGTACCTGGGCTGCAGATGACCAGTAGCCTTTTCTTCCGCATCGCTGAGTTGGGAAACTCAGCTGAAACCTGCTGGTCAGCCCAGTGGTGTGGGAGCCTCGGGGGACAGGCTGGGGGTGACGGTTCATTGTCTGAGCTGAGTCTGGGTCTGCATGTGGAGGATGGGCGGTCCAACATGCATTGGTCATGGGAGCATACTGGGCAACCCCTGTGGAGCCGTGGAGCAAATCGCCAGGCTTTATCTTCCCAGGCTGGTGCCGGTACTATGTAAGACGCAGAGTTGGACATATGCCACCCGCCTCGCATTGGCCTTTCCCAGCAGGCCTGAGCACTTGGGGTCACTCACTGGCAGTGAGTGTGTGCAGCCAGGTAGGAGAGAGCTGGACGGAGGGCATCCCAGACACGTGGTGCCTGAGCTCCCGAGAGCTTAGTGGTCCCTGATGCGTGGTTTTCCTGACCCTGCCTGGCCCTCTCTGTGGAGGCGTGTGGAGCAGAAAGGGGCTGGTGATGCTGGCTCAATGTTGCATTTCTATGGTCATGTCGGCCACCCATGCTTCTGGGTGTGAATCAGTAGAGCAGCATTTGTTCATCTGAAACATTCTGGAAAGTCTTGCATTTGCCCAGTGGTTCTCAACCAGGGGCCATTTCGAGCTGTCACTACTTGGAGATGTGACTGGCATTCTGAGGGTGAGGCGAAGGATGTAGCCCTCCGGCTCCCCACTCCCCCATAATGAGGCATGCCGCATGTCCCCGGGGCCATGACCAAGGCCCCGTCCCAGCCCTCACTCTAGGTGCCTGGGCTGAGGGGCTCACCTGTGGGCTGGGGTGGGGCTGGCACAGCTCACACTCACTGTCCCGTGCACAGGGCTCCTCGGGTCTGCAGAATCTGCACGTCCATCTCCCGCTGCCCCCAGGCCGCTGCCCTCAGAAGGTGGGCCGCTTGCTCTGGGACACAGGTGTCTCTGTGTGGCTTTGATTTGCACCTCTCTGGTGCCTCCTGAGGATGCTGAGGTTACGAGTTCACCTGCTAACTGCCCGGTCACCAGTTGGTGGCCTAGGCATGTCCCCTTTGGTGAATTGTCTTCAGTGTCAGTCTCGGCATGGCTAAGAATGCCCTTTATCCCTGGTACCTCAGACCTGTATCCACCTCCTTCTGACCATGGACCATCCCAAGGGGCCAGAGTACAGCTGGACCATACCGTGTTCCCGTGGCTGTGAATTCTGATGTTGGCAGCCTGGCCTTTCTTCCCAGACACCCCTGGATCAGCGCCGTCCTCACTAACCTCTGACCTCTTTCTGTCCTTCCAGGGATCTCTGGGCCTGCCTGGCCCCCCCGGGAGAGATGGCAGCAAAGGCATGAGGGTACTTTCTCTTTCTACAGTCTTCCCTGGAGGGGTGTGTGCAGGGCCTGGACCTCGTCATTGCAGCTGTGGGCATCGGCCTCAGTGGCCTGTCCTCTGTGGGTGTTCTTGCTCAGGAGATGCACAGCCTAGTCTGGGCCAGGCTGCCACCCAGAGCAGAGCTATTGGTCGCTATGGGGGTTGGGGTGTCCTCCACCAGGTCCCCCAGACTACGCTTCTTCATGCCTCTGAGGGGGCACCTACTCCAGAACTAAGGGTGCCTGAGGATCTCAAGTTGGGGGTCTGTCTGTCCCAGAGAGGGAGGCACACCCACCCTCCTTCCAACAGCCCCTCAGGGGTCCTGCGGCCCTGCTGCTGGACTCAGTTGTAGTCAGAGGGAGAAGACAGCTCCT